CAGCATGTTGCTCGGAAACACTGACGTGGAATTAGTTTATTGGTGTGAGAATTGTGTTATATTGGTATGGTTTGACTTTACATGGGTCACCCAAGGATTATGCGTGTATATATTCGGGTGTTAGGTAGGTATTTTGTGGGGATTAGGATTGTGCTTTTGAATGATAGGTAGGACAATTGTTGGCGTGATGTAGGTGTTACGTGGGGTTAGTTTGGTGTTAGATGGGTATTGCATGCAATTTACATGGTCTTGAAAAGGGTAATATGTTTTGTGGGTACTTCTTGTAAATTACGTGGTGTCCATCGGGTTACATCGTGTTACTTGTTTTGGGGATGCTGGTTGGTAGATATACGTGTATATTACGTAGTTTGTGGGTGTAACGTGGGTATTACGTGGTTGGTGGATGATGCGTGTGTATTACGTGGTTTGTGGGTTTACGTGTGTATTACGTGGTTTGTGGATGATACGTGTGTATTATGTGGTTGGTGGATGATGCGTGTGTATTATGTGGTTGGTGGATGATGCGTGTGTATTATGTGGTTGGTGGATGATACGTGTGTATTACGTGGTTTGTGGGTGTAACGTGTGTATTATGTGGTTGGTGGATGATACGTGTATATTATGTGGTTGGTGGATGATACGTGTTTATTACGTGGTTTGTGGGTTTACGTGTGTATTACGTGGTTTGTGGGTGTTACGCGTGCATTACGTGGTTGGTGGATGATAATGTGTATTACGTGGTTGGTGGATGATACGTGCGTATTACGTGATTGGTAGATGATACGTGTGCATTACGTGGTTGGTGGATGATACGTGTGTATTACGTGGTTGGTGGATGATAATGTGTATTACGTGGTTGGTGGATGATACGTGCATATTACGTGGTTGGTGGATGATAATGTGTATTACGTGATTGGTAGATGATACGTGTGTATTACGTGGTTGGTGGATGATACGTGCGTATTACGTGGTTGGTGGATGATAACGGTATTACGTGTTTGGTGGATGATACGTGTTTATTACGTGATTGGTAGATGATACGTGTGTATTACGTGGTTGGTGGATGATACGTGTGTATTACGTGGTTGGTGGATGATAATGTGTATTACGTGGTTGGTGGATGATACGTGCGTATTACGTGATTGGTAGATGATACGTGTGCATTACGTGGTTGGTGGATGATACGTGTGTATTACGTGGTTTGTGGATGATAATGAGTATTACGTGGTAGGTGGATGATACGTGCGTATTACGTGGTTGGTGGATGATAATGTGTATTACGTGGTTTGTGGGTGCTACGTGTGTATAAGGTGGTTTGTGGATGATACGTGTACATTACGTGGTTGGTGGATGATACGTGTGTATTACGTGGTTTGGGGGTTTACGTGTGTATTACGTGGTTGGTGGATAATACGTGTGTGTATTACGTGGTCTTGCACAGTGTCACATATTGTTACGCGTTTTGGGGATGGCGGTAGGTGGGTGTTACGTGTGTTTTACGTTGTCTTACACAGTGTTACGTGTTTTAGTAGGGTTGTTATGGATGTGGAAAGGGTTTTTGTCCCTTCTATTTACATAGTGTTACTTGTTTTTGGGATGAAGATTCTGGATGATACCTAAGTGTGTATTACGTTGTCTCACATAGTGTTACGTGTTTGGGTGGGGGTGTCGGGGGAGGTTGGTGCATGCTACGTGGTCTTTCATAGTGCCTCATGGCATTACATGTATTAGTGATGGTGTTTGGTGGATGTTACGTACGTATTACGTTGTCTCAAATAGTGTCACATGGTGTTAGGTGGGCGTTTGATGTTAATTACGTGTGGTTTAATACTTAAACAACAATGCTACATTGCGCTAGATGGGTGTTACGTAAGATAAAGTGGTCTTCGATAGTATTAAAGTGTGTCCAAACCATATATGTTTATTTACTCATTCATTGAAATGGTAATGCATTGTCCAATTCGGCTCCTTGATTAATTCTATTTTCGTTAAATCCATAGAGTTGTTCGATATATCTGACGTCATAAGTCATTCATAAGATATTAAATCAATCTGACCGCCCTGATAACATGTTGTATCACAGGAACGTGTTGATTTACGTGAAGACGTATCTGCAACACAGCTATGAGATCGAAGATCTGGATGGGTTATCAAAATGTGAACAAGTACTCGTCAGGGAGCCCAGATCCCCTGTATTCCTCCAACATTTACTGATATCCTTTACCCTTCTACTGCAGTCCACAAGATTATGTTTTATAATCAAATTTTACAAATTGCACGTCCTATATTAGGCAGCGGATGTCATTTAATTACACTGCTATCCCAATAAGAAGTAAACTTCAAACTACAGCACTCACTGTCAATTTCGCGCAATGTGAATAGTGATGTGCAGCGCTATTTCAAAGAAACACATTCCAGGAGTAGAATTGTCTGAGCAAGCATCACAGAGAACGTAGGGTCGTGATTGGATTGATTGAAATTCCGACCTCGTACCTTAAGATCGTAATTTGCTCAAGAAATTACAACGGCACATGTCACAGTGGAATCTAAAATTTAAATTTGTACTCGTCCAAAGGGTTCCTTTGAAATTAGATTACAGTAGCTATGAAATAATCCAATTGACAGTTTGATGTCAGATCAGCCGATAACGGCGAAGACGAGTAAATCTGGGTTTCACTGCAGTGTACAATGCTAATCAACTTCACTTTGTCCCTTGTGTCGCTTTCAAGACATTTAACGTTTCGTGTTTACACAGAAAGCTTTGGGATATCAGGGGACTTCTCTCCGGCGAGAGAGCAGTTGAGCTACTGTCAACACGAGGTAGTTTGATGTATGGCATTTATATACAGCGACATATGCCACGAATCCCACGATAGCTCATGATGCAGACATTTCGATTGGGCGCGGTGGTCCTATTAGTTAATGCTGGTATCTTATTACTTCAGCAAAACTGCAATTCTTAATTGACTGATTAAATTGTGCGTTAGCGAAGTGTTATCGTTTTCTATTAGCAAAAATGCAAAAGCTGTCTTATCAAGAGGAAACTCTTCTTACAAATCATTCCTATTAATCGATTTGCAATTTGGAAAACATTAATTTGATTGATTAACGCAGTTTGACCATTAAAGCCATTGGCAAAAGACACACATTAATCCCTAATCGTATTCCTGGACATAAATTAATATGAAACATATGCCCACTACTTAATACGATGCTGTCTCGGAGGAATCGTAAGAGACAATCACCTTCTAAAACATTTAGACTCTCACAGTATATATTATACTATAATTAAACGTTTGGTTATATAAGAGCGACTATATTTACTAGACGACTTCAGTATTAAGTCTGTAATGACAAGTGATGATACAGTTGCGTTATGGTTAGCTACTCAATTCAATGGCCACATATTAGGGGCAGGAAATACCACAATAACGGGGTTCAGAGATGCGTACCTTTACAGAATTCACAGTGGGTGTTCAAATCAAAGATTCGACGAGGTTGAATCCATTTTCAGTCAACATGACACCCAGAGTTTTCACAAAATGGTTTACATCAAGTATCTTTGGTCTGTTTCTATGTACACCTACCAGGTCCGGATATAGATCAAATTTAGTGCAGTGTTAATCTCAACTCACTAACATCATAAAAACTAAAATTAGCTTCTCAGCCTAATCGTAGTGCAATTTTTATATGAAATATGAATGTAATTCACTTCATATCAGCGCTGTAACGGTTCAGTGCCAGGAGTGTGTTAACTCAACATAGCATATGCATTAACAAGCTGGGAGAACACGCAATAAGCCTTTTTTTTGTCTGAAATCTATTCTTGTAGAAGCCGCATTATAACATATATCAAATGTCTATGAGTACGACTGGCTATACGTGATAAGAACTTCCTCATTGGTTGTTTACTCCCGCACAGTGATTGCGCAACACAATCTGGTTTACCAAACAATGGGTCGGCCATTAAATGGGTAAATGTCTACCAGTTCGTCTAGCTACTACATGTTAAGTCTCCCTCAATAGTTAACTCTCCAGTAATTTTGCAATGCAATCTCTGTTACCAAAGAAGGGGGTGGCTATTAAAACGGTAAATGTCAACAGGAAGATACATGCATACATGTAACGTGATAGTCCGACATGCCTCAGCTACTGTCAACAGACACCAGGTTCATACATACCGGTATTGTTTCTGTATAAACACTAACATGTATGCTTGTCTATGCATATCTTTGACTGCTCTGCGGAAAAGAACGATGGTAATGCAATCCTCTTTATGTACACTGTATAGACTTACAGAGAACGAGGTTTATAAGGAACACGCGTATAACTAAACAACGGATATATCGAACCTTTCATTTGGTCCATTCCACTTGCTGTATATCTTAGTAGAAGTGCGTATAGCAAACTGCGGTTATTACAAACTGAAATTAATGGTCCCTTGGATTTCGTTATAACCGTAGGTTACTGTACGTGAGTGAGTGAGTTTAGTTTTACGCCGCATTCAGGAATATTCCAGCTTTATGGCGGCGGTGGTCGCGTTAGTTGCCTCTTAAAACAAGCATGGGTTACTGAAGGCTCATTCTAAACCGGACCTTCATTGGTTACTGTACGTTAATGCTACCATAAACATTCTATCATAAAACCAATCTTCATAGCAATTTCATCTGATCTCCATAAAATATGGATTTGTCAACATTCCATTAATTCAATACGAACAGTTTCTGTTTCTAGGAACAATATACCATTGCATGTACTCTTGTTCGTGCATACACTGACTCAACTATCACACACATAAAACTTGCAATTAGCAATTAATGCCTTCATGCATGTAAACAGTGCATACTGTGTACATACAGGGTATAATTATTACCTTAATGATTCTGGTGAAATACGAAATATTTGTTGACGCCTTACACCGCGCATAAATTATTAACACGACCCAAGTCCGAATGGCTACCTGTGGTCAAATAATCAATCTACTAAATGAATACACTCACCTGCAGCTGCGTATCATTTACTGAGTCAGAGAAGGACTGCATATCTGTTTCCAACCATCAGCAATGTGGTAGATCCGGATTCCAATAACCATCTCAATGCCCCATAGCCCGGTTCTTACTCTGAAACAGGCCAATGAATGTGAGATGAGTGAATTGACGCCTGGCACAGATCGAATGTAATATGGCAACATATTGCGGACGATGGAAATAGGCTCCGGGATGGCTACCTCTATCAATACCGAGTTAGGACTCTATGAAAGGGCCGACAAGACTGTGAAATGAGTGGTCGTTAGTTGCAGCTTATTGGTGGTACAGGCGTTGATAGATGACGAGTGACGGCGATGCTGACATTCATTATCATGTCAGCTGCATGACGCACATGTCATTTATGGCACCAGGCCCCGATTTCTCGAAACAAACTTAAGTCTGAGTTTTGACTTAAGTTAGAGTTTTTACTCAAATTTGAGAAAACGCATTTTCCAGAATGAGCTGAAATCGATATTTAATTCAAACATAGTAGATAATTTAAGTTTGGTGAACCGAATACTGAAGTTGTTTGGGCTTTTTGTATTTTAAAAATGCAGCTGAGTTAAAATTCAGCTGTTTCAAATAGTCAAACTCAGTTTGAAATTTGAGTAAAAACTTAAGTTTGTTTCGAGAAATCGGGGCCTGTACTAATAGTTTGATGTTAGATTTGGACTTCAGTGGTGTGGCATTGGATTGCACCGTTAATCATAAATCTGTTTACGAAAGCATTGAGGCATGGATAGTGATTTTAGATCATTAGTCAGTTAACAATAGCGGTGCAGACAGTACGGTAACGCTGCATTAGGCCGTGGATCGGATTAATTCTGTTCTCGGTGGCTAGGTCGAGTGTTGGTTTTAAACAATGTCTAAGCATTTAACCTTTTCATTTACGAGGGGTGTTTTTGCTGAAGATGCAGTTGAAATCATTGGGATGCAGCTTTGCAGACAACCATTTATTAGTACATTGTTGTCAGAACATACCTTTGTTTAGGTAGTAACAATCTCTAGTATATATTGCTCGGTGCAGCAGAGTAGAATGCTCGTCTCACCGAAGGTGGCGGTGGGGTAGCCGGATAGTTAAAGTATTCGCTCGTCACACCGAAGACCCGGGTTCGATTCTCCACTTTCTGGTGTCCGCCGCAGTGATGTTGCTGGAATATTGCTAAAGGTGGCGTAAAACTAAACTCACTCACTCATGTCTCACGGAAGACATGGCTTCGACTCCCCGATGGGTAAAATGTGTGATGCTCGTTTCCTCGCAGCGACGTGATTTACAGTTTGTTAAACTCGGGGTAAAACCACCGACACTGACAGACTAATTCAACCTGTTTCACTTTAACTTCAAAATCGGACTAAATGGTTTATTACATCCTGTCGATTTAGTAAATTTAGTAATGTGTCCTGACGGTTTAGAGGTTTGAACAGCATGAAGACATACAAAGGAAAACATCTTCTTTAGCGTCTCTCACGATTCTTCCGTGAAGCTTCTCGCCTCAATGTCATTCACCTGATAAACGGGCAAGAAAACAGGGAGACAAACAATAAATCGTCATCTATCAAACATGCATGTTTTCACGTTTCCTTTCCTCGGGTGAAGCTACGATATTGCTGTTTACGCGAGCCCACTGTCTCATTTCCCGAAATATAGAATAAATTTTTCAACGAATGCAATTTTAGTTTGGAGTAGCTCTTGTTAAAAGGATAAAATACGATGTTTTAGAACACATAAATCATAAAAAAACTAAACCAACACTTGGTCCCCGTGCGGTGTCGTGATGAAATGGAAACCAAAGTGCTCTTTCCGTGCAGCGATAAATCTGTACTTTTAGTATCACTTAACTTCCACGACGTCTATGGTGAAGCAGAAATACGTTTTTCAGAAGGAACCATATTCTATACTTGTTGTTTTAATGATTGTAGTTTTTGTTTCGCCGCCTACAGCTGATTCTTCGCCAGACGTTAGGCGTGAGGAGAGATGAAATTTAATCATTTCCAACATGCAAAACTTCAATTTCAAATCCTTAATGGTAATTTGTTTCATAAGAACTACAGTAAAATACGCATATACACTCGTTAAAATCAATTATGAAGGCGATGATTATATAAAAGTGTGTTTAAGGATCGTTTACACGAAAATAACTCTCTTTGAAGACGACAGATTTGATATTTTATTGTTAAGAGGATGGGTGTGTGGAGAAACATTTATGTCTGTCCGGACGCATTCCGGTTCTCCATTGCTATCCCAGAGAGATTATTTCTCGGCTGCGCCGCAGTTCAACATGGATACCGTCACAAATGAGGTGTCCTGATGATGTCGACCTGTTATCCAAAGTTATTTGCACGACAAAAGGTAGAAAACAACCTTAGCCAGTGAGAGATTTTATTGGCGATGCATATACACTGGTCTCAAACTGACATACATGTATAGATACCCAGATTGTCACAGGTGGTGCTATCATACGTACAACTACCTCTACTACTACTACGTTTACTACGGTGACAAAATCTCCTACACAACAAACTAAAAATCAATATTTATGATAACCATAGCATCATTCATCATCCCAAACTATGTTCCACAGGAGATATTGCTTGAGTGAGATCAAACGATATCTCCTTGGAGATATCGCTTTGACAGTAGATGTTGTACAATGCCCTGACAATGACGTCGTGAACTTGATGACGTCACGTGCTATGACATCGCAGCTCTGCAAGTCTAATGGCAGTACCGTGTTCGGAGATGTACATTTTTCATTGAAAACTGAAGAGTGATTTTTGATGATAAATAGAATCTCACCCTCGTGTCTTCTGATATCAAATATATCAACACTCGTTGATAAAAGTACAAATATGCTTGACAAGCCTCGGATATTAGTAACTTTATCAACTCGTGTTGATATATTTGATATCAAAAGACACTCGGGTGACACAAATCACACACGTCGGGAACGGGTCAACGAGCCTGGCCACCCGATCCCGTCAGTTAAGTATTGGTTGCTGTAAATCAATCCTTCCTCCTCTAAACTTAGAAACATGCTACATTTCAACGAGTCACATTTCACACGAACTTCGACATGTTCTCAATTCTCCATTGTCAAAGCAAAAAATGATGGTGGCACATCGCCATGATACTACTTGAAGAACAAATGAGCTCTGAATACGTTCTGCATTCATAGCATTTGAATGACTGAAATACGATCTATATGGGACAGTGATCTCTTCAATTGCACTTAAACGTGTTCTTCCTATGTGAATTGCACCACAATTTTATTGTGCGTCTGTAATCCTTTTAGCAGTAAGAACGCATATCGAATTACCTAACACTGCGAGCACACGAGATATTTATTGACATTTAAATTTACCCAGAATGCCTCTCCCATGGGGGCCTTGCTAACTATATAACATTGCGTTTATGGGTGCATATTGTTTAATATTGTTGCAATAAATATTATCTATTCTGTGCATCAATGTACACATCATGCGAGGTATAAAATATATCCAATTTGATGAACATTGAATTAGTTACCATTTGCTCTGCGACGCCCTTCTTTTCTGAAATAAAGACCGAACCAACATGACTAATTTCGAGAAAGGTCGGCACGACGTACCGGTCGTTGATTAGAAATTCATTGTTCGCGGTCCTAAGAATGAACCTCGTAGAACCTTACTGACTCCGAGCTGACCCATCCTAGTTTTGTCTCATTATTGTCATATATGCACGGTAACAACACGTTTCATCTTATAACGCCACTTGGCGTGATGACCTTCCTCTCTGAGGAAACACGCTCCTCATTTGATCATACAGGTGATCTAACACTGATTAAGTACATCCATGTATATAACAAATAATCGTTCATACATACAATAGTATAAAATGAAGCATGGGAGTTGTATTATAAAACTGCTGGTCCTAACAGAGGGGAGCTTTTCGAAATGACTTAACCTAATCTTACGAAATACTGGTGAATGGTAAATAACGTCATTTCACAATAAAATAATGTCATCGAAATGGCCTCGCTTACAATGCATGACTTTCTAGATCTTTGTTAAAGCACATCCCTGTGATTGACACAAGACTTAAGAGTAGAAGTAACCATGATATTCAGTTTGTGTCACATGGAAGACACGGTTGCTATTTGTTTGTCCGTGTTCATTTCAGAAGCAAACATTGATACCACGGATACTGCAGCATTGATCCTCATATTTATTCATTCTTCACATTGATGACAACTGCCACAGCATGCTGCACATGTTTCATGTCATGACTATGAGGATATCGATGCAGTGGTGATATTAAGTCCACGTGAAATGGGGCGGTGGTGTAGCCTAGTAGTTAAAGCGTTCGCTCGTTCGGCCCCGGTTCGATTCCCCACATGGGTACAAAGTGTGAAGCCCATTTCTGGTGTTCTCCGCCGTCATGTTGCTTGGATATTGCTAAAAGCGGGGTAAAACTAAACTCACTCACTCACTTACTGAAATGTATCCAAAAGTATGCCACACGGATAACTCTCTACCAATCTCGTGACTATATTACAGGCTTGAGGTATCCTCACCATTGCCAATAAAGCTTGACCGATGGAAACTGTAAACTTGGTCTTAGATCTGTAGTTCACAAGGTAGTCCTTACCTGATCTCGTAAATTAGTGTCCCAGAAAGCCATTAATAAGGTGATAAGCTTACTAACAGAAGGTGTATCAAAAGGGATATCAGGAATAAGTGGCCATTGTTTTGTTAATGTCTTGTAATTGACAGGTCAGACAATACACTACCTTAACGATTAAGGTTTTCATTTAGGGATGTTACTGTTCATTGACACACAGCGTTCATTACTGCAACAATATAATGTCCATAAAAGGTTTGTGGTTAAGTCTTATTCTTATGAACACGTATTATCTTGCATACAGACGTCGAGAATGTCTCAATGAAAATGATGAGAGCATTTTATGAAAACAATCTGATTTTATATGCAAAGCGTACTGTAGGACTGAGATGAAGGCCAACCTCTAATTTTAATGCAAAAAATGACGACTATAATCTTCTTCAGAAGTTATCTCTTTCAACAAATATCAATATCATGGCAGTGTCATTCTTGA